CAGAGGCAAGATCAATTTTGTAGCAGTGAAAACAGCTCAATACATCATGGGTCCATCTAGAACTGTACTCAGCCTTTTAACACAAAGGGACATAACCCCACCCCACCCCCACCTCTGTTCATGGGATAGATTTGATAGTATTATGTTTAATCTGAATGATCTGTTATTAACTGAATGATGTTTAAGACAACAGCTGCAGACTATATGAGATTTAATCTGCATGATCTGTTGCTTGAGTAGATATTAATCAGTGGGCTGGAATGAAAATAATATAGCTGTCCTTGTAGCCAGGTATTTCCTGGCAAGGAGATCTTTTTGGAAGGCTCTCACAGACACTACTGGCATCAAGCTGTGTTATATAGTTTCTGAGTTATCTTAATGATCTTTATGGTTGACTTTGTTTATTTCCTTGAGACATCCAATGAGCTCCTCTTGGTGAAATCAGTTTTTTGAGGAGGGATGTTTGGTTTCTTTGTTATAACAATGCCAGCTTTCTAAATATTTGGGAAACAAGAGATTATATCCAAGTTCCAAGAGATTTCTCTTGAAGCTCAAGAGTCTTGCAAGAACCAGAAAGAGCCTGATAAAATAATCTATTCAAGAATTTGTCATGAACAGAAGGAGTCTCCCTGTAGCGTTAACCAAATGTTACAGAGAAGTGAAGTCTTTTGCCCTAAATTACTGTATAGTGTTACTATGTGTGTTAAACAGCTGCCATGCTCTACCTCGGAGTTGGCTGCACTTCAGAAGTGGGTGCAGTGATTCTCGTATTATGTTTTGCAAAGGGATCCTTTGGGAGAAAAGGCACTAGTTCAACACAAGATATTTATCTAACTATGAAGATTCCAAAATTGTCATTGTGTGTGTGCCACTGAAACCTAAAATGTTTGAGTCAGTGCGAAGTGATGGAAACAGCTGCAAGCATGGCTATGAGTTTTTCTTGTTCAGACTATCACCAGGTTCAACCATCACTGGAATTCGTGGCCTCTTACGGTCTATTTTTTTGAGTATTCAGACATTTTGACTTCACAAATTACATTCATGCAGTGTACAGCTACAGTAAGGCATGTACAGTAACTCCTCGCTTAATGTTGTAGTTATGTTCCTGAAAAATGCAACTTTAAGCAAAACAATGTTAAGCAAATCCAATTTCCTCATAAAAATTAATGTAAATGGGGGGGTTAGGTCCCAGGGAAATTTTTTTCACCGGACAAAAAACTATATTTGTGTGTATATATATATATAGATATAGATATATCAATATCTATATCTATACACACACACACACAATATAAGTTTTAAACAAACAATTTAATACCTTACACAGCAATGATGATTGTGAAGCTTGGTTGAGGTGGTGAAGTTAGAGGGTGGAAGAAGGTGGAATATTTCCCAGGGAATGCCTTACTACTAAATGATGAACTAGCAGTTGGCTGAGCCCTCAAGAGTTAACACGTTGTTAATGTAGCCTCACACTCTACAAGGCAGCACAAATGGAGGGGAGGGGAGGGGAGACAGCATGGCAGACAGAGACACACACCCGGTGTGTGTGAGAGAGCGAGATGCGCATTGCCCCTTTAAGTACACTAACCCCACTCTAAGTGCATTGCCTTTTTAAGTAGATCAGTAAGTTGATACAGCAGCTGCTGTCAGTAAGCTCCCTCCGTCCTGAGCCCTGTTGTGTGTCCCTTCTGCTCTATGTAGATGGGGAAGGCGGGGGGCAGGAGCAGGGGGACACCCTGACATTAGCCCTCTTCTTCTCCCCTCCACCCCCCCCTCCCTCCGCACAGCAAGCAGAAGGCTCCCGGGAGCAGCTCCAAGGCATAGGGCAGGAGCAGCATACGGCTGATGTGGGGGGAGGGACAGCTGAACTGCCGGCAATTGATAGCCTGCTGGGCAGCTGCCACACAGGGAACTTAGGGGAGCGGGGAGCTGATGGGGGGCTGCCAGTCCACCCAGGTTCCAAGCCCCCACCACTAGCTCCAACAGGCTGCTCTTTCTGCAAGCAGTGGACAAAACAGGCAGCTGCCAAACAACATTATAAGGGAGCATTGCGCAACTTTAAACAAGCATGTTCTCTAATTGATCATCAACGTAACAACATTAACCAGGATGACGTTAAGTGAGGAGTTACTGTATCTATGCCATGCCAAGAGTCCTAGTCCATTGTGAGATCAGAGGTAACTTAACCAATCACTGCCCTTACACTACAGCTAAGTTGCATCCAACAATTTGATTGGTTGTATAGGGAGACTGCACAGCTGATGGATTAGTTGGCCCACTTGCCATAACCGTGCAACAGCACCGGCTTTTGGCCACTAATTATTAAATAACTCGTCAGACTTCAGGGATAGCTGCATGAAGTAAATGTCACAATACAAAAATCAGTTACCGTCCAATTGTCTGATCAACAAAAAGTGTACTCAGCTCAGTGTCTGGTTTGTGGTACTTTTTTCCCTTTTTAACAAAGGCAGTGAGACTTTATCCAGGATCACCCAGAGTTCCTCCAGAGAAGTGCCAGTTATGCGGAGACTTTTCTCAATTCTGTCATCTCTCTTCTAGAGATAGGCCTGAACCAAAACCTTGGACCTACTTCCCCTCAAATTTTGGGTGAAGTCCAGATCTGAATCTGCTTCGCAAATTTATGGCTTGGACCCATCTCTACTCTCGTCTGATGTTGGCAAAGGACTAGAAGATCCTTATAACGGACAGATGGAAAGAGCCCAAGGGTGAAATCCTGGCTTTAGTGATATCAGTGGCAATATTCTTATTGACTTAAATGGGCCATGATTTCACCCCAAGTGTTTAAACTATCATCCTATGCAGCATTATCTTCTAATCCTAATTGCACCTCCAAGATGAGGTGTTACTGAAAGAGGTCATAACAAGCTAATATCAAGAACCTATACAATAATTTAGTGCAGTGTGCAACGAAGGAAATACTCAGCAGACAGCAAGCCTTTAACAAATTTGAAGCATGTGCAAATGAAGTGCTTAACATTCAAGTACATATATATGTCCTGTCTTCAAAGAGCTTTTATTTAAGATGAGCACTAAAAATAGCGTACTGAAAGGGAATCTTAAACATACAGCCTCTTATTATAAATACTTTTTATTCTAACGAAGTTGAGTGCAAGCCCATGAAACACCTCTTTTTTTTTTATGAGGCGCTTTGTGGTCTGATGTATGGATGTTTAAATAGAACCAGCAACATTACATGTCCTCATGAGGGCATCATGAAGTCAAAATGTGCCTGTGGTGGCAGATGACTACACCAGAAATACCATGGGTAGAAGTTATTGCTATTGCCAAGTAGGCGACCCCAAGCTTATACCCCTGATTCCCATTCTGGCTAAAAGCTCAGTATACGCTATAAAGAAATCACTGACATCTTCATGCTTTTACTGTCCCATTTCTATACTGTTTTTGATCAAAAGACTAAGACCAAATGCAAGCCAGGATTGTTGCTATTTGTCTGGCGCTAGAAGTCCCTTCATATGTACTTGAAATTTTCAGAAAGAAGTAATACAGGCTGCCGACATTTTTCTGGATCTATTTCTCCAGTAGTCATTTCTTCCCCTATTGATCTCAGTGCTTATAATCTTCTTGAGTTGCACCTCCACCTCAGAAGGTGATAAGCTGGGTTTTTTATGATTTTTAGTGTCTTCAAAGGCAGAGTCTTCATATGATCTGATAAGTGCAATTCACTGATGCACCTGTTCCAGAGGCTGAATGGTAAAGGACAAGGAAGTAGATAACTCAGCAGAAGAAGCAAGAGATCCCAACTGATGTTTTCCTTCTGTAAAAATCTGCTTTGGAGTGAATGATTAATCATTTATTTTAGAGAAATGCTCCTTGAAAGATATTTTAGAAGGTGGCCTCTTTGTCAGTGGTGTATAAAAAGAAGAAATGTCAATGTTTCCTGAGGTATCCTCTATCAAAGTCTCTATACCAGGCTCTCCTTTCCTTCCTTTAAATCTCTTCTGGTAGCAGCTACCTTGATCTTTCTTTTTTTCACAGCCAATTTGCTAATATAGAGGGTACAATGTTCAAAGATGAGAGGACAAAGATGAGAGGCTCAGAATACTGTTTCCTTGTATTTCACTAATGGAAATGTATTAGCTTCTCCTTCACCTTCATTCCAGACTTGAGCAAAGAATCTATATACAACAGAAAAACTTACACATCACCACAGATTCTGAGTGCCTTCCAGTAAAGCATGACTATACATCTGTCATGTACTATTTGTTCTCTCATATTATTCCCAGGAGACGTGTGTGCAATAGAGTATCTTGTTTTGGTAGCATTTTAGGTTTTTATTAAATATAGCAAGATTTATATTTGCAATTCCTCTGCCAAGACACAGTAACAATATGGGCCAAATTTTGATCTCAGTTACACTGGTGTAATTCTGATGCAATTCCATTGAAGTAAATGAAGTTATAGGTGCAACTGAGATCAGAATCTGCTCCCATGTGTTTGAAAAGTCCTTTCAACTGAAAACAAAACACACGATGGAAGAATAATTGATGGAGGAAGGTTAAGCTTCTTCTACCAAAGTTTTTCCACTGGAAATACAGAAAAGAGCTTATTTCAAGCCCTGCCAATGTGGATGACCAAGCTTTGACATGAAGTCACACATTACCCTTCTTTCACAGCTACATGGCCCTAGGTAAATAAGTGTAGCCAGAGGAACAATTTTTGAAGAACCATTTTTGAAGAGTGGAGCTCTAAATCATCTGTGTCTCTACTAATAATTATCAATTTTATTTAGCATTTTATAAAGCAAGGCACAAATGTACAAAAATGGTGTATATTAAATCATCCCATTTTCATATATATATCTATATATATATCTACACAATGTCACAATATAAAATGTGCTACAACATTATCAATAGCACATTAGTAAGTTAAGACTAATCTTCGTATCACCTTTAAAACCAGACCCTATATTTATCTGTGCTTCACCTGAAGGAACCGATTTATATGCATACACATGAAAAAAATCAAGCCACTGTCTTTTATTATTCCCACACTCACAGAAATCAAAATTTGTTGCTAACAAGATGCGGAAGGAGCAACAGGCAGTAGACCAGCACCCAGAGGAAAACAATGAAGTAAAATAACTCGGGTTGCTCTACATATGGAGGTTCAGGAGGTGGAATAGCATTCTCCGGAGCCTCTAAGTCTTTTTTCTTCCTGCAAAAATGGATGAGAGAGAGAGGTTGGGTTGGGGAAGGAAAACAACTGTAAATGTGCAGTGGATTGACTGAAGTTGTTGATGGAAAGATGGGAAGAACTATGAGGCAGTAGTTCAATTAATCTTACAGTCCAGCCAGCTAGAGAGCGAGTCAAAACTGTGAGGTACACAAGGGGTTGTGCAGTATCACTTCTTAGGAGCCAATGCACACAACTGTTTTAAGCCTCTGACAACTTCGGGCTGATTCTCACGTAGTGTCAATCAGTGCAACTCCCACTGAAGTCAATGGAGTTATGCCAATTTACATCGGTTGAGGTTCCACCCCTAACTGTAAACACCTATGAATATTGGGCAGTGTTCAAATATGGATTTTTAATTGAAACAAAGCTAAGATTATCAAAAATTGTTAGTGATATTGGGTGTCCAACTTGAGACATCTTAAAGGGACTTCATTTTCACAGGGTGGACCCGCAGCACTTTTTGAAAATCAGATCCGATTCAGGTTTCTCAAGATGGGCACTCACAAATCACTAGTCACTTCTGAAAATGCTCTCTGAAAAGGGTTTCAAATACTTGGAGTAATGAAGCCATTTATTTTGAAAGTTCTTGCCCAGATGGGTTTTGAACAATTTAATTATACATCGATAGCATACATTGGAAATCTTTTCTTGAGGGTGGGTGGATTCTCTGATGCTATTTGGTCAAAGTTCTCAAAAGTCTGAAATGAAATTTAAGGACTAACAAGAGCAACTCCAACATTTGCAAACTGGGAGATTTCATTGGGTCCTGTAATGCAAAACCACCACCACCACTTGGCACTTATATAGAGCTTTCCTTCTTCAGAGTGCCATAATTAAATCAGGAGAGACCTCAGGAGCACATTTTAAATGACACAAGATGACCCGGGACAGCAAACCATCCACATTTTACTAATGTGAACACAGCATCTTCTTCAGTGGGTTCTTTTTAAATTTTAACTTTGAATAAATTTGCCAGTTTTTCAGTGAAATATATTCCTATGTTCTCTTTTGTTTTCGGAGTAACTCTGCAGATTTGCTTTCATTCTTCTTACTGAAAATCTGACTGGATATCAAAGGTAGTGAGTTTCATGCTAGAGTTTTGCAAACAGTCATAATGTGATACATTGTTTACACAGTTTTCAGAAAGTGTGGCACTATCAATCATGTAAATGAGAACTGGACACTCCTTTTTCCAATAGCATTTTTGCATGTTTTCCGTAATTAACTCCTGTGACCACTAATTAAGAGCCAAATTCTGGCTCCATTCAAGTCAATGCAAAACCCTCTTTGGCCTCAAGTAGAGGCCTTATCTACACTGTAGCTGCACTCCTGCAAAAAAAGTCCCAGGATAGACAAGGCCATGCACTGGCTGGAGCAGTCTCCTAGGGGCCACTGGCCCAGGATCATTGGAGCACATCACATTTTAACTCCACCCTCTCCCATTCTTTCCTTGCCCTGGAATGTCCCCTCCACCAAGTGTGGTATGCTGTTGGCTCATGGGGGAATCCTCAGCATCCCAATTAACACAGCTCTAAGTCTCCCTTGCTATGTGCAAAGAAGATCTAGCCAAGGTTGACAATCTGCCACTATATATCTATACCTACCAAATTTTGTACTTCAGACCTGTGAGGAGTTGTGCTGAATCCTATTCCATGCCAGTGCCTATAATTTTCTAAAGTATACATCAGTCTCAACCACTGCAAAATAATTCTGAATCTCACTTTAGAACACTTGTACAAGATTCTAGAAGTCTTGGATGCCATGAAAAAGACACTACCCACCTGATAATTAACAGATTTGTGCTTTCATCCATGTCTGTGTTCTTCTGTTTATTTTCACTAACATGTTCCTAAAATTACATATTTATAAACAAAATCACAATGAAAAGAGTCAAATGGCTTTTAAACAAGCATCAAAGACAGCGACAAAGATAGCAGCTGATTTTAAGTTAGGTACAAAAATCTTTCTAAATTTTACTCCAACAAAATAAGATCTGGCTTATACTACATTCCCCTTGCATCCAACACCTCAGTCTGATATCAACAATAGTGAAACACAAGCAGCCACAGACATTGCTGCTTCCAATATTTTTTATTCACAGTGGGTGACATTCTCGTTCCTTGCATACACTTTGAGTAGCTGAGCTTTATGGATGAAGTGTGTGTGCATTAAATCCTGGCTCCACTGAAATTAATGCAAAATTCCTATTGACTTCAAGGAGGTCTGGATTTCACCTTGTGTTTGGGAGAGTCACAGTCCCAGCTCAAAGAGGTGGAATGCAGCTGCATCATCACCTATTGCCTCTCTGTGCTACATACATCAATCTAGGGCCCAGTGAGGTAATGAACACCTCTTGAGAGAACAAGACAAACCACATCTACCACTGTGTTCTATTGTGCTATTAATTTCAGTGGCATAGGACTGAGCCATTAGTCAAGTGGCATGATGCAACAACCCGTGCAAGTTTGAGGCAATAAACCCAATCCTATGAGGTACTTGTGAAATGCTCAGCAATGTGCAGGACGGGTCATAAATGAGGTGTTGGGAGGCTACTGCACATAAAATACAGAGCATACATCATGTTCCTTGCTATTTACTGAATAGCAGAAAGTGTCACTGTAGAATTAAAGAAAACTCACTATGCAAGAATGGCAGCCAAAGTGAAATGTCAAGTCACTGACTGCTACAAAAATATTGAAATTACAATGTAGTCCCCAAATAGTTTGTATAATTGCATGATTAGACATTCCTTTGTGGATATACTTAATAACCCGAGGTTTGATTAAAAATTGTTTGTATTTTCCTTTAAAGCTTTTCTTTATTCCTAATATCTTAGTGCTTAAACCAGAAATTCTATGACTTTCATTTAATCAAAAGGTTTATATTTGGTTGTGTTTTAGCAATCCCATATAATTACTTTTTATAATTAGTAGTCTACCACTTATTAGGCCTGTGATTTTAGGAGATAATTAGAGGTAATGAATGGGAGACACTAAATTTTTCCACATACTAACCTTTTCACTGGGATTAGGAATCCTTTTTCGGAGGTAAACACTGGAGTCGCTGTAGCTAACCCTGAAAAGTAAATAAAAATAAACTTTAAGTTCACAGAGGCAAATTTTCACAGGGGCTTTGACCTCAACAAATGCCCCTGCAGTTTTATGTACATCATCTTCAAGATATGCAAAACCTCAAATACACATTCAAATTCATGTTTTTATGCATACAAAATGTTCAGGTGCAATTTCAGAAGCTGCTTTGGAAAATCTGGCCATGATATGAAAAACTAGCAACATTCCACTTCGAATAATTTCTGAAAAGCAATATCTTGATAGGTGTTGAAGGTGCACAAACCTAGGGCTACCATATGTCTGGATTTCCCCGGACATGTCCGGCTTTTTGGTCTATAAATAGCCGTCCGGGGGGGATTTCTAAAAATCTAAAAATGTCCGGGATTTCCCCCCGGTCGGCTATTTATAGACAGAAAAGCGGCGGCCAAGTGCCACTCGGCAGCCAAAGCCCCTTCCCTGCTCCCCCCATCCCCTGCAGCCCCACCACGCCGTCCGGCCCCGCAGCTGTCTTCCCCCCTCCTCCCCTCCCCTGAACGCTCTGCCCCCCTGCTCCTCCCCTCCCCTGCTTCCCGTGAATCAGATCTTCGCAGGAAGTCTGAAAAGAAGCAGGGGCACGCAGGCGGCAGCAGCAGGTAAGCTGGGGTGGGGGGGGAGGAGAGCTCCGGGGAGGCGCGGCTCTGGCCGAGTGGCTCCCTCCGGCCCGGGCGGAGCGGTGCCCGGCAGCCCCAGCGGCTCTGGCCCTGGCCCCAGCGGCTCGGGCCCGGGTTGGGCCCCGGGGCACCAACACCGGTTCTGGCCGAGTGCACTGGCCCAACCCCAGCCGAGCACCTCCGGCCCGGCCCCAAGCCCTGCGACCCCGGCCAGAGCGCAGCCCGATTCCTGGGCTCTTTAAAGCCGGCCCTGGTCAGGGGACAGGGAGGAGGGTGGGGTTTGGGGGTTCTGAGGGGGGCGGTCAGGGGGTGGGAAGTGAGAGGGAGTGGATGGGGGTGGGGCAGGGCAGGGGCGGGGCTAGAGCGGGGCTCCTCCCCCCCAGTGTCCTCTTTTTTGCTTGTGGAAATATGGTAACCCTAACAAACCCCATTAGATTGAAGTCAGACTAGATCCCCAAACTGTTACCATTTGTGCTCTGTTTTCTTTTTTGAACTTATTTTATCATGAAAGGTATTACAATGGTGGTTAATGTATAGGAAGCTTGGAGAAACTGAGTTAATGGGATTCTGGAAGTGAATTTCTATTGAGTTTGTTGCAGCTCTGATTAAACTCTTCACCAAAATGGTACAAATCCATTTTTGTTCAAATATTGCAACTAAACTAATATTCAAAAGAAACAGGAGTGAGAGTTAACTGAATGTTTCAATCATATATGTATAGAAATAATATGGGACATCAACCATTAAAGTAGTACAGTGGACACACAGTGTCCGTGGTTATCTCTCCACTATAAGTACAATACAGTTGTGTGTTAAACATGTTTAGGAATCTGTTTGGCTTTGCACGTGTAGACAAATCCAGTTGTGTTATGACGTCACATTGTTATTGGTTCCCCCAATATGTTTGTGACTGTAACATAGAGAAGCCCAGTGGGGATAACATGTTCTAGCTAAATGAGATTTGTTCAGAAACATACTACTGAAAAACAGTTTTACATCAAGGCATATTGAAGACTCCATAAAAGTTAATTAATTACCTGGAAAACTCCTGATAATCAATGATTTCTTCTTTTGGTTTATCAGGTAACTGTGTAGTCCCAGTTTCTGAAGTCTGAAAGTTTTCTGCTTGGATCACATTTTTCCTTTTTTCCTTCCTTTTACTGCTTATTTCTGATCTCAACATTGCTGATGATATATCCTCCAACTGGTCTACCATGACCTGTTTTAAAGAGAGATTTTCCATTAGACAATGACAAAAATAATACAGCTTTGCCATGACCCAGCTTTCAGATGTCTAATGTTTAGTCTGCGCTCCATAGCAGTGAATTGCATTTAATGCATAAAGATCTCACTGAACAGTATAAAAAAAGAACAGTTCTTCTTAGTAAGCAAGTTGTTGCTTAAAGGTTGAATTCGGCACATAGGGCTACATCATGCCACCAGTTCTTAAATAAAACTCCTCGTTTCTTTCAAAGTGGAATTTTGTATAAGAAATAATGGCACAACATGGCCCCTGGAAAGGATCACTTCAGATTTTTCTAACACATCTCTGATAAAAGCAAACAGCCTGTACTCTGTAGTAGTTTTAGTTCAGATAATCTATATAAGGGTCTGTCTTCACATGAAAGTTCTAGCAGAATACGATAAAGTGTGAATTTAAACTGCTGTAGTTATACCAGTGTAACTCCCCAGGTGAACACTCTTATTACAGAATAAAAATGCCCCTTTCCAGTTTATCTTATGTCATTTTGGAAGGGGTTTAAGCTAAACTGAAAAAAGACACTCTTATTCCAGAATAAGTGTGTCCACATAGTGAATTAGACTGGTATATCACTTTAACTATACCAGTGTAATTATAACAGTATAGCTGGTACAAGCCTTAACTTTACTTGTGTGGTTAGTCCCATTCAAGTTAATATGACTACTTGTGTGAGGAAAGTTACTCAAGTGTGTGAGTGCAGGCCCTTAGATTTATACTCTTTAGGGCAGGAATTGTCTTCACTTGTATGTTTTGTATAGCAAGCATGCCGTTGGCCCTTAACAGCAACAGCTGTAATACCTAGGAGCCATCCCCATGACAGAAGGTTTATAAGCCAATATGATCACAGTGTCAGCTACACAGACACATTAGACAGTTATTTTAAATGCTAGTGGTATCCCATGAAAAAGTCTCATTTGGGTAGTAGTATTAGGGCTCATATTATATTGCCTGCAGCTGTTATGAGACCATTATCACACATGAGCCAATTCTGACATTCCATCCAGCAGAGGGCAGTGGTACACAATGTTTTGAGAGACTAGACATAGCGTATTTAATACAATTATTCAAAAGTCTTGTAGTGAAATTAAGGTGTTGGGGCCAACTTATACAAGCTAGTAGATGGCTGAAATTTAAAAATCAAGATGCGTACCTCAGGATTTTCTGGATTTGTAGAATCTTGAGAGTTTGTGGATATGCTGCCGTCTTCCTTGAGTTCCATATTCTTTCCTATTCGGGCAGCCTGTACTTTTTCAGAGGAGGACTTAGTGGAACTGTCAGGATCCACCTTCTCCTCTTCCATGTCCTCAACAACCATTTCTGCTGGAGAGACACTCAGGTTGGTTTGCAGACCTGGGTCCAGAATGCCTCCTTCATTGTTTAGTACCAATGGCTCCCCTTCATGCAAATAATTCACTGATAGCAAAGTCTGTGGTGAGCTGTTTTCTGAAACATAAGAGGCAGGACTAGGCTTAGCAAAAGCTTCCAAAACTGCTGATATGGGAACATTGTAATGTGGGTAGTAGAAAAGATCATGGGGAATTACAGAAACTTTCAAAGAATTTGATGACATTTTAGCTGAAGATCCATCTTCACTATGACTATCGAGATTCTCAGGAATTTTTGTAACTGGTGGGGTTGAATTTTCAGATTTGCAAGACAAAGATATTTCCATTTGACCTTTGAGATCAGAATCCTTGGATGAACAATTGGTATCTTGTACTGTCTGAAAAACAGGTGATTGTTCTGGATGTTCATACCCGTCTGGAAGTTTTTTAGATATTTCTTCATCTAGTAGACACAAAACATATTTACGTATATCCTCTTCTTTGGAAGCATTTTCCTGTAGAAAAGTTGAAGTTATGGGTTCAGTGGTTTCTACTAGATTTGTTGGTTCATTTGTATGTGCATCTGAAGTCTGAGATAATGGGCTCAAAGAACAACTATCCCCTGTTTTGTTGACTAATGAGTCCTTAATTTCATTGTTGCATTCAGGAGACATCTTTATAGTAAATTCTTCTTTAGAAGATGATTCTGAATCACCTGTGTCAACAGCATTTTTCTGATCAGGCAAAATAGTTGCTGAAAGATCATCATTCTGTTTCAGTTGATCATCAGATATGCTCCTCTCATTCTGAATCAGTTTATCACTAAGAACTTCCCAAGAGGAACTGGATTCAAAACTGACAGATCCTGTAATCTGCAAAGAGGTAGGCCTCTGAGGTTCTTCTGCAGACAACAAAACCAATGACTCTTCTGAGACTCTCTGTGAATTATCTGATAGTGGTTGATTCAATCTGTCATTAAGTTCTTCATCTGCAATTTCTGACTGGAGTTCCTCGGGCAAATCACGGACACAAACCTTTGTAGGAGGAGAGTGGCTCCTTTCATGGTTAACAGTGTACATACGTTCTCCATTTTCATTCAATATCAAGATCTTGCCCTCTTGTTCTGAAGATGCATCTTTGATTTGGACATACGTGGCTTCAATTGGGATTTTCTTATCAGGATCCGAAAAATCCTCCTGTAAAGGATGATATAGCATTAAACAGTAATTTACATATCACTTTAGATTTTCAAATTGTCCCATTTTGTAAATCAGGAAACTGAATTAACGAGGTTAAACTGTACAAGGCCACACAGCAAGTCCCTGACACAGTCAGATTAGAATTAGAAGATTCCAGTTAGGGTGACCAGATGTTCCGATTTTAAAGGGACAGTCCCAATTTTTAGGGTCTTTATCTTATATAGACTCCTATTACCCCCCACCCCCGACCCGATTTTTCACATTTGCTGTCTGGTCACCGTAATCCCAGTTCTCAATCATTAATTCAATTCACCTCTCCATACGGCCTTTTTGGGGATACCTGTTTTATTAAGTACAGAAACTGGAGTAAAATAAACCCAAGAGTCCACTAACTACTGTAGATCATATTGATCTGCTAGTCTGATTTTTTAATTTACAATCTGAGCTCGGCAGCTTATCTGAAAAGTAGGAAGAAATTTGAGTTTTTTTTCTCACTCATAAAATACAATTAACAAACCGTAAAAATTGATGCTGTAAAACACAAGTAGGTTGAATAATGCAACTGGAGGCTTTATTAAACATAAATCTGAAGAAAACTAGTAGCAAAGTAACTTGAATGTGTAAGAGCTGTGTTTTTATCTACTACTTGAGGAAGAACCAGAAAACTATCATCCTGCTTCTCCTGGGGAACAAACATCCTTGGAATCGCCTTTTCATACCAAAAAGGTGTAATTTAAATTAGTGATGACCAACCTCAAGAGATCTGAGGTTCAGATAAGCCCTGAAATATCTGGCTGCTTATACAGATTTAAATGTGATCTCTCCAGTTCCTACTTTGCTCTGATTCTCTTCAGCTCTTTGAACGTCTCCTATCCTTTAATTTCCCTTCCTCTGTTCCACAACAAACTCCTCTACCAGAGCCCCAGAAGACCCTCTTCATCCCCGACATGAAGTTTGCTTATCTACCAGCATTTTCCCATAAATCCCAAACTGGCCCCTTATCAAAGGTAAGGACTGCAGTGAAATCCTGACCCCATTTAAGTCAATTGAAGTTTTTTCCACTGACTTCAGTGAGATCATGATTTCACCTCTGCGGTCTTGAATCTGGTACTATGTCTTTTGAACATCACCACCAATCTGAGCTCAAATCTCATGAGATTTGAAGACAGAAACCAGTCCAACAAAGTCTGCCAAATTGTCTGAAATCTGGAGGTAGATTTTAGCACAAGGAGAAAGCCTATTAAGATTCAGGGATGAGAGAGGAGTGGGGTAGTACTTATTTGAATTGATCCTAACTTTTGTAAAACAGCTTTGGGTTTAATGTTTGGATTGAGTCTTATTTTCTCCAAAGCAGTTTAATGGCCCCAACTTAAAACCTAAGGTATTGGATCAGACAAACACAACAGGAATCACTAAAATATGATGTGGCTTTTAAACCACTTGGAATAAATTGTTTGTAATAATTATGAAGGTAAAAATGAGAACACATATCTGACTTCCTCAAGGATGCCATGACAAATTATGAAAATACTACTTTATGAAAGAAAAGCGTACCCCTTCTATCTCTTGGAAATGCTCCAGAAATTGTGCCACATACGTCATAATTGATTGTTCATCAGGTGACTCAACCATTATATCTATGGAGAAAAAACACAAAGCACTTGGCTCTTAAATACTGAAAGAGGACTTGCACAGAAATGGGCCTTGAGAGGCATATCCTACTTTTATGATTCAAGATAGAAACATTCTCATGAAAACCCAGACTTATTTTATTTTATTTTATTTTTGAGGAGAGAAGGCAGAATCCTCTTAATCATTGATGGAACCTAGAGGATCCCTCAGTCTCCTCCACCTTAATACCCTTCCATCACTCCCCAAACTCAAACAAGTCCTAGGTCAGGGTCACCCTCCTTAGGATATTCCCATCATAGCCTGACAGTGTTGCTCTTTCACCAGTTAGTGGTTTAGTTGAGTGACAGGCAGTGATTTGTTTCCAGTGGGAAAGCCAGGGATATCCTATGCCTCTAAATGGGTACCACTTGCATGCAGCCATCTGCCCACTTGCCATCAATTGCAGGTTTGAGGCCCAACTTCAATTAAGTCTTGAATCAGACAGAATAGGGACAGGTATTACAGCAGAAGTTTCCTTTACTCAAGGAGGAAAAAAAATGTAAGAGGCAAGGACAATTTAAAACTAAATTTAAGACCATTCAAAATAGGCAAAAAGGAAAAAAGGAATTTTAGAATAAGCAAGGACAATTTTAAAAAAGGAACAGAGAGAAAATAACTGGAGCTAGCAAGACATATGCCTACCATCCACCTGATCATTTTGCTCATGTACGGGATCCCTTTATCCCACCCTTTGCTCATTTTGTCTTTTTAAATTGTAAGTACTTTGGGAGAAGGACTGCTTTGGGACAGTACCCAGCACAATGGGGACCCGATACTGACTGAAGCTAATGGGAACTATTGCAATAAAAATAAAGAGTCATAATTTTTTAATTATTTGACAGATGCACCAAGGAAGGCTGCTGTGAATATGTTACCTTCTGGCTCCAGAAGTCTAGGAACACCAAGATTATCTTGTGCTATGCTGAAAGCATCCTCTAAGTTTTCCCGAGCTGATTTCTCCAGAGCTTGCTTCATGTCTACCAAGTTGGAATCTATTGCTTTTATTATAGCTAAGAAAGCAAGGCCACTCCGCCAACTGCTGGCAAAATCTTGAACTGCAACACCATATCTAAATTAAAAAACCAACAACAACAACAACTATATACACTGTAGAAATATATATTAAAAATAACAACCACCATCCCACAACAAAAGCAGTGCCACCATCTAAAACTCCTGAACTATAAGTAAAGTAGTCTGGCTATAGTCATTACAGGAGAGAGTTTCTTGGCTCTAGAACAGTAGGAAACGCTTTTATACAATATAAAGATTCACTGTAAGTTGAGCCAACAGTTTGGCTACCAACTGAGATCAACCTGATTATAGGAAGTAGTTAACAAAAACAAAACCCACAAGTACTTAGCAACTGTATTTAACATTTACAAAACCAAATGTCTGAGTAATTACTGATTTTACTTTGCTATAGTGTTTTAATGCCATAGTAATGGGAAAGGGGCCCAACACATAAGCATGTTAAAACCTATCATAAATGAGTCACATTTTGTGTATACTTGACGTTAAATATAGAAATTTATGCCATGCAGGATACAAAAAAAAAATCCACATTTGACAACTTTTGCATTTTTATAAGAACGAAAATGAAAGACAGAGTTCTGAAAGTTTCATGGTTTAAAACGCTACAACCAAGTTTTCACTATCCTGGTAATTGTTTTTTCTTTCTATGGAAGCTATAAAATGATTCAGTTCCCAACCATTGATTTCCTTCCAAACTGTATTTCTGAGTGGCACTGAAAACACGATGGCCTTGTTTATCGTTTCCATATTGGTATTCCACAGTTATCAATCGTATTGGTCAGCGTCACAGCTCTAGAAATAGGATTTATTCATTAACTTGTTCTTTCTCTGCTGTCTGGATTGGCAGCAGCTGATCACGAAACAACAGGCCAAATTCATCCCTGGTTTTTCAATTCCACTGACTTCACTGGAGTTTCACCAGGGATGGATGTGGTCCAATGGAGAAGATTTTTAGAAATGACCTTTTAATTTTGCATTTGCAATGTGGGCCCAAGTGTTCTCTTGTGAACAGCAAAGATTTGTACATGTCAATCTCTAATACATTAATTTGGGTAAGTGAATTTTGACCCATATGCCTCATAAACTCTGGCTTTTTCTTTACCATTTCTTTATGATTCAATGGGACTATATGAAAAATCCAGAAGAGACCTCTGCACTACAACAATTTTACAGTAACTAATATTTTTGGCCTAAACTACTTGTCAGTAATGTTTCATTTAAAATCATAACCTGGTTTTATTACAGAGTATCTTGAGATGCAAAGGTCAGATTAAGATGCAAGTTTCACCCAAGTTTAAGGGAGTTTTTAATCCAGTGTTCCCATTGGAGCCCACCTCTTGTTGCATAACACGTGAAGTGGCAGTTCTTATGCAAGGACAGGTCTGATTCTTTAGAATGAGCAGAGCAATCCCAAAGAGGAAAACAACAACAAGAACTATCTTAAATGCAATCCAAATATTTTGATATTAATTATTAGCAGATTCAAATCCTTCATTTATATCTAATCTTTTGATTTACACAAAACACTCAATAGATTGCAAATACCTCAGGACAGGGGATGAGTCTGCATCTGTGTCTAGCATACTGTCAAGCATACTGATTGCAGTTAACATATAATGCACAATATTGTGATATCAGTGGCAGATTAGCCACTGAGCCAACAGGGGCCCCGGACAATTCAGGGCCCCCTGAAAAATGGGTGCCCTTGCACTCCGCCCCCTCCAGCACTCCAGCTGGGGAGCAGGATTAGAACTTGGGGGCTTGCCCCACTCCGCCCCTCCCCACCGCTCCAGCCAGGGACTGGGGTCAGGACACGGGGACTTGCCCCGCTCCATCCCCCCCGCCCGGTGCTCCTGAGGGGATGCGGAGTCAGGACGCAGGGCTTGCCCTGCTCCACTCACCTGGTGCTCCTGTCAGGGAGCAGCAGGAGCGTCAGGCAGGCAGAGTGGGGCAAGTCCCTGCACCCCAACCCTGCTTCCTGGCTGGAGCATGGGGGAGATGCAGGGGGACTGCAGATAGAAGGGGTGGGGAGGGGCCCCCACTTGCTCTGGCCCAGGGCCCCATAACATCCTAATCCGCCCCAAGTGAAATAAGGAAGATACAGCACCTGATATTCTGCCAGTTTAAGTCAGTCAATTTAAACCACCTGAGGATCTCACCCAAAATATGCGAAAATATAAATTGCTCACTCTAAAACTTGAACACACTAAAACAAGGAAGATCCTACAGCATGTGTTATTGTCATAGATTCCTCCCATGGACTACAGAGGGAAATTAGTTTCAACCTCAGAAACAAACCCATTCACAGCTGGTAAAATGGAGACTCTTCTAAGCTACCAAAAGGAGGTTGGCTTACTTTCTGGTTTTCCTTTGAACCCAGGTTAAAAGGGCTCTGATTGCTTTTCGCTGATCCTTCACTGAAAGAGACATGCTTCTCTCTATATTAGGAGTGCTCGGATGAGATGTGTCTGAGTCAGCCCCGCTGGGCCCAGATGACAGGCTGGAAGAGGAGGAGTTCCTATTGAGGTTGCCTGTCAGTTCTTTAATCTGTGTTGAAAAAGGTAAAACACAAGGTATTTCAATTTGATACAGACATTCAATCATCCATAAATCCTGCTTTCAAGAAAAGTAACTCTTTTGTTTCCTCTGAAATTCAGTTAACAGTCTAATTATAGGTCTGTGCATTAAAGAATTCAGCAACAACTACACCAACCAGAATAGACCTAACTAGCAGCACCCTTGTTGGCAGTCTCAACAGAGATGTCAAGACTGATGGGCAAGGATACATGCAGTGTTGTTATAGCCATGTCGGTATTAGAGAGACAAAGTGGGTGAGGTAATATTTTTTATTTGAGCAACTTCTGTTGGCCCGAGAGATAAGCTTTCAAGATTATACAAAGCTCAGATCTGGCAAGGATATAGATATTAGTTTGCATTGGTTGAAAATATTAGAACAAAAAAGTTGTCCCGTGGGGAAATGGGTTTTAATTGAAATCAAAGGATAGATTTTGGTAGAATTTCCTGTTGAGAAAATCTAAATGACATGCTAACCAGAGGGGATGGGTTACTTCGCCTTTTAATAACGAGTTCTTCGAGATGTGCTGTTCATATACATAATAGTGCACTTCAGGTTGTGCATGTGCTCCATGCATCCAGAGCCAGAAATTTTTCCTCTAGCAGTGTTCATCTGGGCCACGCATGGTCTCCCCAGACTCCACACCAAGGAGATAAAGGGGGCCGACAGACTGCTGCCATCTTAGTTCCCTCTCTACCACCAGTTCCAGGTAGAGGTTGACCAGGCAGTGGAGAAAGAGGGTGGGTAGTGCACTGCAAATGTCAAAGAACTCAAGCTGCTGCAAGGTGAGTAACCTTCAAGTGATTGTTCCTATGTGCAGTGCACAAAGTGTGTCTCTTTCAAGGAGGTGGGTGCCTGAAATCTTAGGACACAACAGATTGCAGACTGAACTGCCCTGCCCAAAGTAGTATCAGAAACTGCTGCTTCCACCAGTGCATATTGTCTAGCAAAGGTGTGACCAGAACTCCAAGCTGCTGCTCTGTAGATGTCAGTAGTAGGGACATCTCTAAGGTAAACTACCCATGCTGCCTGAGCTCTTGTCGAATGTGCTCTCACGCTGCTTTTGAGGGGGGATATTGTTCATCTCATAGCAGAGTAGGATGCATCCTGAGATCCATTATGACAGCCTCAGGGAGAAAATGGCCTCTTTTCATTCGTTCCACCAATGATACAGAGAGCCTAGGAGACTTTTGAAATGATTTTGTCCTTTGGAGGTAAAAGGCAAGAGTTCTAGGCATGTCTGTTGAGAGCCACACCACTTCTTCCCTGATAAGTGAGGTTTAGGGTAAAACACCAGTAGGTGGATACTTTGGTTAAGATGAAAGTCCACCACCACCTTCAGAAAGAACTTTGGATACAGTCTCATGGATACCTCATCCTTGAGAAAAACTGTATTGGGGGGGGGGGTGGAGGGGTCTGCCAGGAGCGCCCCATATTCCCTAGCTCTTCTGGCCAATGTGATAGCAACTGAAAATGCTATCTTCATAGAGAGATGTAGCAGACATGAATCTAGAGGCTTGAATGGCAGTTTAGTCAGGGATGATAAAACAAAGTTAAAGGTCCAGGCTGGTACAGGTTTAGCCACTAGAGGGAAGGCCTAAATCATACTCTTCAAGAAGTGGAAAATGACGGGGTGAGAAAAAACAGAATAGGTAATTACCGGTGGATGAAAGGTGCTGATGGCTGGCAGGTGTATTCTGGGGGAACTAATAGACAGCACCATGGATTTTAAGGACAGCAGGTAATCCAATAAATTCAGACTCTTAGCCTATAGGGAAAACTCCTCATTGGTCATACCAAAACACAAATATTTTCCACTTTGCTTCATAATATTTCTGGTAGAGTCCTTCCTACTACTGCTCAGGATTGCCTGGACATCAGCCAAATAGGCTTTTCCAACTCCAACTTCCATCCAAACACCATGCCCTCAGATGAAGCATGACTGGGTTGGTGCAGTAAAGCCTTCCCTAATTCTCAGTTAAAAGGTGAAATATGCTGAAGATTTCTGACATATTGTCTGACGATCTCTAGGAACCCTTCAGGGCATATTCTGGAGATGTGCATCAGTCATAGTCCAACTCGAGGACTTGGACTGCAGATCCAGTGGAGCTCTGGGTACTGGAGAAGGCGGCCACAACCTGCCTCAGCTAGTTGATGGTACCAGTGAAAGTCTGGCTCAACTGCTACTAAGGTCGGGGGTGAAAAGAGATACCATAGGGAGCTCAGTACCAGCTGAAGTCCCAGTACTTGGTGCTGGGCTCTGGAAAGCTGAGGGGATTTTGGTTCCAGGAATACCAAGAGATCATCTGGAGCCAAGAAACAAGCCAGAGTCGATGAAGTCATTTCTGTAACCCAAGTCACTGAGGCAGATGGCACCAACAGCGCTGATTTTGTAGATTTTGGTGCCCAAGTTCCAACCCTGGTACTGGAAGGAGCTGAAGTCTTCCCTTCAAAGAAATCTCAGTACGGTCCTTCCCAGTACCAGACCGTCCTGCTCTGGAGCATGAAGCTCCAATTACTGGTTTGGAATGTGGACTTCTGCCACTTCTCAGAGGGCTTGGAAGGGGATCCTTCCCTCTTGCTGTTGGGGAAGCCCCTATGTTTTTCCCTCCCATTTGTCTGTCCTGGCTCTGCTCTCCAGAGTCTGTCTGAGCCAAAAGAGGGGTGGAAGTCTTGGAACCACCCAGGACTGAAGAAGTGGGGCCTCTCCTACCTTCTTCAGGTCAATATACAGGCAATCTGTACGGTCAGAGGCTGTTCTCACCGCCAGGAGGAATCTTCAGAGTTTAGTCCTACTTGGGAACAACCGGGAGGTACTGTACCTGGATGGGATATGCGCTTCCTCCAGGCAGTAGAGACAGGTGTTGTGATGGTCTGTGACTTGGAAGGGCTTGTGGCACATATCGTGGTTTTAAAGCCAGGGATCTTTGGCTTACTGCCCTGCAATCTGGTTCTCTTTGGATTGGCGGTGTGGGGGAGAGATACATCCTGGCTGGGGGGTTCCAAACTAGGGAACCAACCCCCTAAAACTATCCTAAGTAACTATATTAAAGAACAAACTAAACAGACTTTTTTGAAGAAACTATTTACAGAGGGAACCTGAAGAAGTCAGCATGGACACTGAAACTCCATCTCACATCACAAGAGGTGAGAAGGAACTAAGATGGCAGTACTCCAGCAGCCCCCTTTGTCCCTACATTGTAGAGCAGGAGGAGAGTGGGGGTGCATGTGTAGACCAGATGAATACTGCTAGGGGAAAATGTCCAGTTCTGGGTGCTTGGAGCACATGCACAACCTGAAATGCACTACACAGAAAAAATCACTCAAGCAGAACAAAGTGTTTCATTTCGGGTCAACATTAACTTTACCATTTGCCTTAGGCCTGGTCTACACTAAAAATTTAGATCAACAAAGCTACGTCACTCGGGTGTGAATCACAATGCTAAGTACTGCAGCTGTGTTGATCTAACCCCTGGAATAGACACAGTTAGGTCAATGGAAGAATGTTGACGTTGACCTAGTTACTGTCACTCAGAGAGATGCAGTTCCTACAGTGACGAGGTATGCCATTGTAGCCCCCATAGTGTAGACAAGTCCTTAGCAACTGTGTTGCTTCACTGTACTTGTAGTTCTAGGTCCCTCAACCCCCATTCTCCCCTCTGGGCCCTGCCCCCTGGTTAGGCTACATCTTCTGTGATGCACCAGTTCCTCTCTGTAGCTGAGCTGCTGCAACGCATCCCACAGTGCTCAGTCACAGGGGAGAGACCATGGTGCATCTTGGAAGATGAAGTCAGGTTCCTAGACTTGTAGATCACTACTACAGGTGATACCTCTAGATCAGGGTTGAGATACTAGGTATAAAACTGATGTAAGTTAGAGAACCATCAATCCCTCTGTGCTTTATTTCTGTCTTTATGGATATAGGTCAGTACAGGTCTGTCGCATCTTACGCACATTTAACATGCGCGATTTCAACTTTACGCGGTTGGCAAAAACAAAAAAAAACAAAGAGAAAAACAACAGTTTTAATACTATACCTGTAGTGCGGGCGATTTCGCACGCCATTGAACTCAATGGGGTTTTGGCTATACGCGGTTTTCGCTTTACGCGCTAACCGCGGAACGGAACCCCCGCGTAAGATGAGACAGACCTGTATTCTGCTGGAACTGAATGATTTTATAGACATAGTTCTCTTGTGATTACAGCATATAAATGGTTTTACCTGAAAAAACAGGATTATATTCCATATTAGTCCAAGTACCAGAGAAGAGTTTCCATCCACTATTTCTGCTGCATCAATGCTAACCAGTTTTACCTATAGAAAAGTAGGTTATAAGCTTAAGGGGATCTGTATATACGGATTACATAAGAAACACAGTTTAAATATAGAAAATGCATCAGCTCAAACCCAGACATAGGACAGTCACAGAACCCTTCTACATCCCAAGAAAGAGTCAGTTCTTGGAATGAGCTAACAAAAAATTGTCCTTGACTGGGTAACTTTTTTTTTTTTAAACCAGTCCATAAAGGCATCAAAAACTGCCCACAGTCTCCAGAGCTGTTCTGGACACTCTTCAGAGGTGTCTGTCCTAAAGTCAGTACAAGGAAAATGACTGCAAAAGTTAGACATCATAAGGAATATATATTTACTGGCCTACTCTTTTCTTTAAAGACCACTTGGGCTACCAGATTTCTCTCATCTGCAGGGAAGATGCTGTTTTTATACACTCCCTATTTCCCAGCAAGCTTTACCAGGAATTAGGGTTATACATATGGCTGCTCGGAGGGACTACAAGTCCCAGCTCCACCCTGTTTTCATGGATCTGAGAGAGAGATGAGAGCTTGGAACTACCAAGAGTCAACCTTGTCTCTCACCATGAAGGAGATGGGTAAGTCCTAGCCCACGCTGCTCATTTCCAGCCTCAGTCCCTATAGCCAAGGTCAGCAGAGCAAGTGTAAACCCAGTACCACTTCCCTGAGACTATACTTCCTCCCCATCAGCATCTCCTTCCCTCTCATACTGGTATTTCTTCAATACAAACTTGGAACAGGCTTCTTCTGGCTCAGAAGGATTCCACTTGTAAGCCTCAACGGGTCTGCATACCTCATTACACTTTCTATACTTATAGTGAGGAATGAGACCACTTCAAAATTCAGACAGTTTGGATTAGATACAGTATAAACTTGAGGGAAGGGTAATGTGATCTGAAATCACTTTCTGTGCAAAGGAAAATAAAGCTTCCCAAGACTTCACTTTTCTTTTTAACATGCATCTCCCTTCCCCACACTTTACCTTATGGCTTCTTAAAGAGTTTATCGCTGATCTCTGACAAGATCAATTAGAATAATTGCTGGGTTTGCCTAATCCTAGCAGATCCCAAAGTTCCCACATTGTGGTTTCTTTCACATAACAACACCACGATATTATTCATTTAGACAATGCTGCCTTGTTGTTGGCAAAGTAGCAGAGCAGGAAGCAAGGAAATTGTCAATATTGCAAATGACCCTCCAACTGAGTTAAAGCCCAGTATTATAGTCTGTATTTATCACTCAGAAATGTCATTCATGTGAATCACTTTATCCCACTACCCTACAGAACTGCAGACTGTGACAGGTTCCACCCCATTTGTGGTTTAATAAATAAACTTCTAGCTCCATATAGCCAAGGCATTTTGCCAACATTTTCATCACCACCCTTCACTCCCAGTTTGGTTTAAACTGAAATAAGATTTAAATAGCATTGTAACCTGTGTTTTACAGAATAGTTTGCTATCCCAGTAAGAGGACTTCTTTAGCTGTCATACTTCAAGATTCAAATTTTCTTACAAAATAGATGGCATGGGACAATTTTTTAGCCTATTGCCAGGGCCGGCTCCAGGCACCAGGCAACCAAGCACATGCTTGGGGCGGCACCTGGTAAGGGGCGGCCAATCTTGGGGTGGCGGGGGGCAGCATGGAGCGGCGCGGCATTCCGCGGGGGGGAGGGGTGCTCCGGCGGCGCGGTGCTCGGCAGGGGGCACTCCGGTGCGCGGCGCGCGGCGGGGGGGGGGGCGGCGCAGGGCGTTGGGGGGGGGGGAAACTCGGCAGGGCAGCAAAATAGATAGAGCCGGCCCTGCCTATTGCATTTTTTAAATGCCAGTTTGTCTAAGGTGGGAGCTCTCAGCTGGAGGTTACTGTTGGACTGCTTCCAATATCAGCTGTTGTCTATCACTGCTGCTTACCTTTGTCAACCCATCCCTGTACAGATGACATTCAGTTGTAAGGTTTTAGCCGCCTACGCTCTTATGGAAACAATCAACATAGATTTGACTGCCAAATTGACACTCAGTTAAAAGGCTGATTGTGCCTTAGGAAAGCTCTACCCACTCTGTTCTGCCTTTAGAATCTGTAAGTGGGTTACAGACTATGACATAGAAGGGCCCTTAGCAACAGGGTGAGTGTAGACTGTGATGACAGCAGCATATGTAGAATTTAGTGCTATCAATGGGTGGAGCAACATGGGAAGAGAGGTGTTTTCAGTCTGCCCCTGGGTGTTGACTGGCTTTGTGACTTGTCAGCCAGGATGGACTTACTTGTGTATTTATTGCAAAGCTGGAGGGGATGACTTCACAAAGATGGGTCATCTCCCCCCAGTCAGCCCTCTCTGTATCTGCAAAGCTTAACCCTGCAGAGAGGCCACCGAGGAGCTGCCATGGGGTCAGTGACAAAGGAGAATACTGTAGAAGCAGTGTTTTCTCCCACAGCCCAGATCCTCTCCATTCATGGAAGTGGAGGAGATGGTCTGCAGATCCAGCAGTCCTTACTGAGGCAAAATACTCATGGGCAACAAATCGCACTAAAGAAATAGGATTTTGCCTTAATAAGGACTAAGGACTGCATGATTTGGCCTTTCCCTTTCTTAATCTAGTCACATTCTGTGGTCTGCATAACGTACATTAAACACAGAAGAATTAGGGCACTGAATTTACTGTTTAAAAACGGTATTTGTTTTAAGAAACCTGTTGTACAGGCTTCTATTCTCTCACTCTTCTTGTATACACATGGATTGTCAAGAGCTCTTTAACACTATGGGATAATCCTCTGTGTTCCACCACTTAATAGGAGGCCAGATAACTCCATATTAATTTGTCTCATCTAATGCCTACTACTCTGTGCATATAGCCACTGGAAGAGAGTAACACGGGAGACAGTGTAACAAGGGAATTTCTGTTTAATTTTTTTTTAAATGAAACCTACTGCACATGCTACTAATGTGTTCTTTTTAAATATACAGAGTCTGGTTATGGTCTCAGTTACACTGCTCTAAATCTGGAGTAGAATATATTTTTGAAATCAATGGGGTTACACCAGCCTAGATGACAGCAAAATTTGGCCCAATATTCAGGAGTGGGAGGTCTAGGGAAATGGCTCCTGGGCAGCAGTGGAGTGGAACAGAAGAGACACAGTATCTGGGAGGGCAGAGGCACAGACCAGCAAGGAGAGTTAGGTTAGTGGTAGGATTGTAGACAAGTAACAGCTGGCTTCCAGCATAAAGTTAGCAGCTGTAGCTGTGCTAGACAGCTAGCACAGGGGTGGAGCTGTACAATGGCCAATAGGTGCGGCATATGAGGAGCTGCAGATTTAGCTGAGTTGAAGAAAGAAAGGGCTGCAGTATGATGAGAATGCTGCCACCCTTCCGTCTTACTGAGACACTTTAAAGGGAGTCTCACTATTACAGGGTTAATTTACCTATTAAAAAGAGTTGGGGTATGTGAGATACAGGAATCATGACAGAGAAAGTGTAGCATGGGACTTGGATGTTTCCACCATCACTTCCAATATCTCTCTGCCATGTTGTATCTTATAAGCAGTAGAGAATATTTTCATAAAACATCCATAACACCTGAACGTAAAAAAAATCTGGAGGAAAAAAATCAATATGAATTATTTCATTTTAAAATACTGGGCCAATGGTGTAAATTAGTAGCTCCACTTAAATCAGTGACATTGCACTAGTGTAAAAGTGGCACGAGAAGAAAGTCCGCTCTTATACGGTTTTGATTGCAAAAGTTATATATTTATTTATTATCTAATTTTTCCAGATTTAATTTTCTCCTGCCTTGGACTCATGATCAGCTGCTGCTGCAATTTAGTATGGAAATGCAGAATTTATGATAGTTAAAATACTTTTAATCAAAGGAAAAAGGAAAGAAGTCAATTATTACCTTCAAAGTAACTGAAATCAAGGCACTTAGAATCAATTCAGTAAAGATTACTTGAATTTCTAGTTATTTTCTTTTAATATTGGTCTCCTGATCCTTTAATCCTGTTGAACTTTTACATTATAAAATGAAAACATAATCCTTGTTTTTTAGACTCTGTAGGTGTTCTTCTACATTTTTGTGTGGTATTTTAGCCTTGCTGTTAAACAAGGCACAACTTTTTTCAATCAGTGCACTCCTCTTATGGGCATGCTGCGTAGAAAATTAGGTGCAATTATGTTTGCAATAGATACTGAGGAAAGTACGAAATTGAGACCGAGCTTTGGAAATACTTACATTACTATCCTCCAAAAACTTCAGTGCTTTAGCTATGTTGTTCAACCGAAAAATACGATGGGTTGAGGACTTATATTCATGCAGCTAGAAAACAGAAATATGTATTGTTTTAAAATGCAGACTAGAGATGAACACTTTGGATTATTTAAGTGATTTGTTTAACATGAAGAAAAAAAAAGCACACAGCTGATCACAATGGTTCCTTCTGGTCTCAGAATCTAAGAATCTCTAAGACATTGTGCATGCGTAAAAAACAAACACCACCCCCAACCCTCCCCCCTCATCCCCACTGTCTTCACTTCAGTGGCTAGCAAAGTGATAGAAGCAGTCATGAAAAAGGGCCAGTGCATAGCTTAGTGAGTTAATCATTTAGGCTTTGTACGCACCAGTGTTTCTCCATGACCGGTTAGTGGACTAGCGCCAGTCCCTGCTATCTCCCTGACACAGTTTAGGAAGCAGGGCCAGCTCCAGGCACCAGCCCAGCAAGCAGGTGCTTGGGGCAGCCAATGGAGAGGGGCGGCACGTCCAGCTGTTCGGCGGCAATTTGGCAGCAGGTCCCTCACTCCCTCTCGGAGCGAAGGACCAGCCACCGAATTCTGAAGCGGTGGCGGTAGAGCTGCCGCCGAAGTGCCGCAGATTGCGATCGCGACTTTTTTTTTGCTGCTTAGGGCGGCAAAAACCCTAGAGCCGGCCCTGTTAGGAAGGCAGTAAGCCAGTCCCCGGTATCAAAAAATGTTGAGAAAAACTGGTCTATACTATATCTTTTAATCAAGTTTATAATTAGTTAGTGGCATGACCGGTTCTAAACAGGTTTTGTCCGCACATGATATGGTCAAGACTTAGTTAATAATCATCGCAACTAACAGTATTTCACCCTTGCCCGAGATCTAGGGTTTGTTTTCACTGCTAAAAAAACCCCCTACTTTTTACCTCAAGGTAACTAATGAGCATGAGCTAGCCCAAGGTAAAACACATGAAGACCAGCACGTAGTTTTACCATGAGGTAAACAGCCAGGGGTTGACCGTGGCACATTTATCTCATGATAAAACTAAATGCCTTGTCTTCATTGTATTTTTACCTCAGGATAGCTCAAGCACATCAGTTACCACAAGGTAAAAAACGCACCTTTCTTAGCAGCGAAGTGTGAAGACAAGCCGCTAGCTGCCCCATGGCCTTGTAACTCCAGTTTGGTGTACTGTTTTTTGTTATGTGGCTAGACTTCTGCCTGTGTAACCAGTTTGGCCAATTCTCTTTCCTCCAGGCTACCTGTGCAGTAGGACGTCCCAGGATGCATTGCTACACAGGTTGCTCACGCCATTCTGTGTGCATGCTCTGAGGACCTCTATCCCCTGCTGAGTCAGTGTGAGAGAGCAGCACAGATTTCCCCAGGCTGCACTAATACATACCCAGTTAGACAGGATGATAGGTGTGGACACACAAAATTGGTGATGCACAAAAACTGCAGTGTGCAGACAACTCTCATGCTTTCTGTACCCAATTCAGATGGGAGTTTCACCAGCTGATTATGAGAACACAATTACATCTGTAATGTGGAGCGGATTGTGGGGCCAATTTCTACTCTTACTACAAAGCAGGGTTACATCCACATAAGAGGGGCAAATCTGGTACTTAGCAAGTATGAATAAAAAGACCTACCAAGCAGTTAAAATGGGCAGAGGATTATCATCTGTAATGGATTGCTCATGTCTATAGCAGATGTTTCTATTTTCCAGGCACTGGGAACTTTGTACACAGTTTTTCAAGGTAATAAATGCCAGCAAGGTCAAAATCTGAAAACACATAGCTCCACATACCAGAGGGATTGAACTAATCTGAACCAAGGTATCAGGACTGAAACCAAGGGCTACTTCAGAAAATAAATCACATGCATTAAGCCACAGATCTTTTGGTTTAGTGAAATCTACCAAAAAATAAAACTATAATTTATAAATAAAAAATACAGCTCTACCAAAAATACTTTGCCCCTTCCACAGTACCCTCCATTTGAAGAAGATCAAGGCACTGAACAAACATTAATAAAATCTTATAAAAAAAATAAGTTCATGGAGATATCCTATCTCCTAGAACTGAAAGGGACCTTGAAAGGTCATTGAGTCCAGCCCCCTGCCTTCACTAACAGGACCAAGTACTGATTTTGCCCCAGCTCCCAAAGTGGCCCCCTCAAGGATTGAACTCACAACCCTGGGTTCAACAGGCTAATGTTCAAACCACTGAGCTATCCCTCCCCCCAACTTGACAAAACTCCTGAGAGGTAAAGGAGTTTACGTTGGTCCGTCACCAGTGTAAGGTCCCGTAAGGACCACATGACAGTGGGGGTAAGTTAGACCACCGGAGGCCAACCCACAGATAAGGGAACTGTACTGGGCTCACTGATGTGACCCTCTCCCCGACTCTGCTGTGCGTAGGAGAATCTGGCCTATTACATGTTCACACATGTATCCACACAAGGATAATGCCATACTACGTACAGGTTTTTCATCCTTGTATACATACCAGATTTTGCCCTGACAGGACCTCCAGCAAAGCCATCAAGATTTTCCCATCTTGAATATCAAGAAACAAATCTTTCACTTCCAGAGGAGGATTGCACTGTGAGGAAAGGAAGCAGTGTTATCTGGATAGTGCTGGATAATCTTTTAAAAGCAGGACTTGGTAAATCATCATTATTTTTGAAGGAAATATGTGGAACTTTACAAAACAGGGATGCTTCTTCTTCTTTACTATTTGTATTACTGTAGCACGAGAAGGCTTCTTATAGAATCACAGAATCATAGGACTGGAAGGGACCTCGAGAGGTCATCTAGTCCAGTCCTCTGCACTCAAGGCAGAACTAAGTATTATCTAGACCATCCGAGAGAAGTGTTTGTCTAACCTGCCCTTAAAAATCTCCAATGACCTCTCTAGGCAATTCATTCCAGGTGCTTAACTACCCTGACAGTTAGGAAGTTTTTCCTAATGCCCAATCTAAACAGCCCTCGTTGCAATTTAAGCCCATTGCTTCTTGTCCTATCCTCAGAGATTAAGAAGAACAATTTTTCTCCCTCCTCTTTGTAAGAGCCTTTTATGTACTTGAAAACTGTTACCATGTCTCAGTCTTCTCTTCTCCAGACTAAACAAACCCAATTTTTTCAATCTTCCCTCACAGGTCATGTTTTCTAGACCTTTAATCATTTTTGTTGCTCTTCTCTGGACTTTCTCCAATTTGTCCACATCTTTCCTGAAATGTGGCACCCAGAACTGAACACAATACTCCAGTTGAGACATAATCAGTGCAGAGTAGAGCAGAAGAATTACTTCTTGTGTCTTATTTACAACACTCCTGCTAATACATCCCAGAATGATTTCTGCTTTTTCTGCAACAGTGTTACACTGCTGACTCATATTTAGCTTGTGATCCACTATGACCCCCAGATCCCTTTCCGCATTACTCCTTCCTAGGCAGTCATTTCCCATTTTGTATGTGTGCAACTGATTGTTCCTTCCTAAGTGGAGTGCTTTGCATTTGCCCTTATTGAATTTCATCCTATTTACTTCAGACTATTTCTCCAGTTTGTCCAGATCATTTTGAATTTTAATCCTGTCCTCCAAAGTACTTGCAACCACTCCCAGCTTGGTATTGTCCGCAAACTTATAAATATAATATGTTTATATCTACTGTGGGCTCTATTCTGAAGTTCTTCCTCCGCTTCTCAGTCAAAACACTTATTAGCATCTATGGAAGTTTTGCCCAAGTAAGGACTGAGCTAAAACTGAGGGCCAGATTCTGATCTCATTACACCAGTATGTTGGAGTCAATAGAGTTATTTCAGATTTACATCAGTGTAACAGAGACCAGACTCTAGCCATATAGACTTCTGGGCTCGGCCCTATGTAAGTACTGGATAGGCCAAGGGCCAGATTCTGATCTCTTACGCCAGTATCACTCTAATAGACATCAGTGCTGTTACTCCTGCTTTACCTTGGGATAAAGAAGATTACAGTCCAGGTCAATGACAGTATTCGGTTGCTTATGCTGAAAAGTTTCCCTTGGTGCCATTATACTTCCAAGTATACTGAATATATTTAAAATGACATGGCAACTTCATATATAGCAGCTCTCCTTTTCCTGCAAAGCCCTCCGAAGGGAACCATCTCCTCCACCCACATAGGTGTCTCATGATGTGTGCACTGTGAGGCACACGGCCAAATCTGCTCACTCCTCCAAAGTCAGTCCCAGCTGCAGAAATTACCTTCCGTTTCGGCATCACTTGCTCATTCATCCCTAAGGAGACACTTCTTTACTTCTTTGGTTGGACTGCATACTACTGTTTGATTAAGCACAACTTCTGGCAATTTGGAACTGGGCCTTTTTGTAAATAGTCTTCCTCCCATGCAGCCAAAAAATATTATTCAAGCTACCCATGGGTCTGAGAAAGATATTAGTTTCTAAAGCAATAACCCACTTTGAACCAAAAACTTCTTTTATAACTTCCAACACCAGAAGGACCAAAACCTGCAATGTGCGGAGCATCCACAACTCCTTCATTACGGGGGTTGTGAGTAACCAGCTGTTCCCAAAAACGGGCACATACCAAGGGGAGCAGTGGGGGGCAAAACGTTTAACTCACTTCAAGACTGATCTTGCTAAGTTTATGGAGGGGATGGTACGGTGAGACTGCTTACAGTGGCATATAGCCGATCTGCAACTGATAGCAGTGAATATCTCCAATGGCCAGTGATGGGACACTAGATCGCCATAGTTGGGGTTGGGAAGGAATTTTTCCCTGAGTCAGATTGACAGATGAGACCTTGGGGAATTTTTGCCTTCCTCTGCAACACTGGGCATGGGTCACTTGCAGGTTTAAACTAGCGTAAATGGTGGATTCTCTGTAACTTGAAGTCTTTAAACCATGATTTGAGGACTTCAGTAACTCAGCCAGAGGTTAGGGGTCTATTACAGGAGTGGGTGGGTGAGGTTCTGTGGCCTGCAATGTGCAGGAGGTCAGACAAGATGATTATGATGGTCCCTTCTGACCTTAAAGTCTATGAATCTGCACTGTGGAAAATAAGGACACATTAAGTCACAGAAGACACTTGAAAGAAGTTTTTCGTATCTGTAAAGGCAAAGCAACAAAATACCCATCCTTTAGTCGTATCCCCAGTTTCAGGAAATCTCACCATCATCATGAAGTGTTCTGGCAATGCTCTCGTTCAGTTCAATATGTTTACTTTGACAGTTTCAGCAAACCTAGCATCATCAACAGCAGACATTGGCTGTTGTCAAAGAGCATTTTGCTTTGTTTCAGCCAGGGAGAAAAAAAAAAGTTAAGTAATCCAGAAAAAACACTCCAGTTGCCCATAACGTTCCTAAGACTTCATGTGCTTGGTATGGCAGAATTAACAGCACCCCGCAGCCTTTTCATGATCTAATTCCTTTTGTAAATTAAAGAACTTTTTCAGAAGCCAGATGCTCAGCAAGCATTTCTGACAGCCTTCAAATTGCAGTTAGTTTAAAATCCTAAAGTCTAATTCACAAAGGAATTACACATTTTCTATTTATAATGTGGATTGTTCCCAAAGATCTTTCGGTCAAAACATCACTGCTAATCTTATCCTGTATTTCCAATGAGATTTAAGAAGATCCTTTCATCTCTTCAGTAACATAAACTGCAAAACTCTTAAGAAATAATATATTTAGTGACTTTTATCTGAAAACTCTTTACAAATCACATACCTACACCACCACTGAAATGCAGCCACCTCTGTCAGGAATTGTGGCAACTAGACCAAAAACTGCACAAAAATACAGCACATGCAGCACAATCCCGCACTTCCTGAAG